AGCCTTTTTACTGGCCAGCTGGTTGGTAGCAGAAGTGGAACTAACTCATAGCCCCAAGCCCTCTTCTCTTTTCTCACCTCTAAGTTTAGATGCTGTATTCCTGGTCAAGGTAGATGGGTATTGGCTTTGAAAATGAGGCTTGGTTCTATGTTCCTCTTTAATCATAATTTTTTTTTAATTAGAAGAAACAGTCATTAACATTCAGAAGGAATACTGAAGTGAAATGGATACTTTTTTTCTTTTCTTTTTTTAAGTTTAAGCCTCTGTGTTTCTGTAGGGATAATGAATAGCTAGTCTTAATTTGTTCTGAAGTATTTTCAACGAGTGTTTTCTTTTTCTTTTTTATTGTGCTTTAAGTGAACATTTACAATTGAAGTTAGTTTCTCATACAAAAATTTATACACACATTGTTATGTGACCCTAGTTGCTCTCCCTATACTGTGACAGCACATTCCTTTCTACCCTGGATTTCTCGTGTTAAAGGACAGTTCAAAAAAAAAAAAAAAAATTCTGTGTTCAAAGCAGATCCTCTCTTAAAATGACTAGCTTGACAGTGTGACCCTTACTCCACAGTAGCCAGGTTCTCCCATTCTGGATGATACTTGGGTTGTGGGGGTTAGCTTTCCACCATAATATTTCTGAAGCAATAATCCCTGACCCAACACTGCAGTGACTACCTTCCATTCGTCTTTTTTCTTTGCAAAGCCTCCATTTCCATCACCCCATCTGTTTTGCACTTGGTCAGGTCTTAGGCTTCATGGTAGAATAGGTCCTTTTGCTTGAGTAGTAAGGAGGGAGCCAACTATTTCTTAAAACAAACAACGAGAAGCTTATATGTGAACATCTCCCCAATTTTCATGAGTTTGTCAGGTGCCAGGCCCTGTGCTGGATGTTGAAGATTCCAAGTGGAGTAATCCACAGCCCTTGCCTGCAGGAAACTCTTGCTTACTAGGCTGGGACAGATAAACAGATGTAATAGCCTGTTATAGGTGCAGCAAGGTGCCCAAGGCACTTAGGGGTAAGAAGGAGGCCAGTTCTACTGGGGGTTGGGGTAGTGTAAACTGTCAGAAAAGAATTCCTCAAGGAGATAATTCTTGTGCTGAGCTCTGAAAGTGACCATATCCCTGATAGAAGAAGCAGTCAGGTTCTCGAGGTTTATTTTAATGTAAACCCATTCATTGAGCAAGGAGACAGGCAGCCTACAGAAAGGCCTTGCTGTGTTAATTTTATGTTTTTATCTGTTTGAATAGGTAATGCGTACAAAAGGCTCAAAACTCAAGAAGATTGAAAGGGAATATATACAGTAAAAAACAAATTTCCCTCCTTTTCTGTCAACCACTCAGTTCCCCTCCCTGAAGGCAATCGCTTGTTAGCAACTTCTTGTGCATTGTTCCAGAGATTTTTGGTGTATATAGGGGTGTGTGTGTGTGTGTGTGTGTGTGTGTGTGTGTGTGTGTAGTCTTTAAAAATACATACACACACACATGGTTTTCTTCACTTAATAATTTTGGAAGTCATTCTGTATTAGTACAGATTGAGCTGCCCTGTTCTTTTAAACCACTGTGTAGTATTTTATTGTACAGGTTTACTCTTATTTAACTAGCTCCCCTTTGATGAACTTTTAGGTTGCTCCAATCTTTTGCCACTACAAATAATGCAGTGAATATCCTTACGTATATATCATTGCACATGTGGTTTCTGAAGACAGATTCTAGAAACACAATTGGTGGGTCAGCGAATATGTGCATTTTTTGGGTGGATATTGCCAAATTGGTCTCCAGAAGCTCTCCATTGATTATTAAATACTCAATTTAAGGTTGTTTACCACTTGGCCACCACAGCTTACCTTCTCCTCTAAATCCTCTACAATCTCACTGGAGTGATCTTCCTAAATGTACTTGGTCTTTAACTTCCTTGTAGGGAGCCCTGGTAGTGCAATGGTTAAGCCCTCAGCGGCTAACTGTTATAGAGGAAAAACATCATAAAGTTTAGAAAAGCAAAAAGAAAGTTTTATTCGGCATATATTCAAAAGGACAAAAGTGGGAAGTGGACAAGCATGCTGCCAGAGCTAGAATGTCTGCCCGAATCCAAGGAAATATCACAGAACAGACAAAAGTGGGAAAACGGACAAGCATACTGCTACAGCCATGTCTGCCTGAGTCCAAAGAATATTACAGAATAGGCAAGAATGGGAAAACAGACAAGCATACTGCCACAACCACGTCTGCCCAAGTCCGCCCAAGTCCAAAGACCATTACAGAGTCATCAGTATATATTAACATTACAAATGGGCAAAACCATTGAAAGCTTCATTTTTTACCCACAGGCTAGAAACTGTGATCCTACATTTTGAATTATCTTTCTTAACAGTCATTGGTACAGGTTTCAGTAAAAACAGTCAGGAGGGTCTTCATTGGTCCAACAAATTTCTATTCACTAAATGCTAATAGAAGAAGGTAAGAAAAGTCTTGTGTTCTGTTAGATCGGCTTTATGTGAAAGTTTCCCTAAAAGATATTTTCTAAGATTATCTTAGCTATTGTCTTTATACCTCAGGGCCCAGTTGATGTGTCCTTGTGAGTCCTTGTGAGCCCCTGTGAGTCCAGCTCCAGCTGGGTCACATTCTCTATGCTCAAGGAGAGGGAATAATAACTCCAGTATTATTTCCTAAATCATAACTGGAAGGTTGGCAGTTTGAACCCACCCAGCGGCTCTACTGGAGAAAGACCTGTTGATCTGCTTCTGTAAGATTACAACCTAGAAAATCCTATAGAACAGTTCTCCTTTGTCACACGGGGTCGCAATGGGTGGAAAGTTGACTTGACGACACAACAACAGCTTCCTTGTTTGTAATCCTTGGAAGTTCCATATGGTTTTCAGAGTAAAGTTTAAACTCCTCAGCATAGCCCCGTCCTGTAGCTTCTGCAGGAGTACTGTGCTCCCACTTATACTGATACCTCTTCCATCTTTTTCACTAGACACATCCTTTAGGACTCAGCATCACCTCCTTTGAGTAGTCTTCCCTGCCTACCTCTACTCCTGCACCTAAGCACCACCCTGGTCCGGCTTCATCCATTCACTGCTTAAATATTTATTGTACACGTGCTGTGCTGTGGCACAAACAGGTATTGTTCTTGATGATCCACTGGTTGTTGTCTTGAGGGGATGACGACTGCCTAGTAGGCTTATCTGGTGTGGCTGTATCTAAAATGACAGCACCAAAGGACCCATTGCCAACTCTAACCAGCTGGTGGCCCTGGGAATATCCTTTAACCTCTTTGGACCTTGATTTTGGCATCTGTCAAATGAGGAGATGAAGCTTGATGATCTCCAAGGTCCCTGCTAGCCCAGGTCTTAGTAATAATTACAAGAGCAGCAGCAGCCAGTGTTTATTGATGACTCACTAGGTGCCAGGCACTGTGTCAAGTGCTCTGATCCTTTTCCTTACACCAGCCCTATGAAGACAGTATGGTTACTATCCTCATTTTACAGGTGAGGAAACTGAGGCTTAGGGAGATTATGTAACTTGGTCATAAGATCATAATGAAGGAAACAGATTCGAATCCAGGCATTCTGACCCTGCTGTTCTTAGCTACCTAAATGTACACACATTTCTACAATGCAGTTTTGTATACTGTCTTGGGTCATTCACAGGCCCCACCCCCAGACCTCTCCAGGAACCATCCCTGTTCCACAGCTTAAAGGCTCAGATTGGAGGCTAGATGAAAGCTGGAAACAGGAGACTGCTACCGTCACAGCTATTAGGGGGAACTGGATGAGGACCAGTGGCTAGCTAGCTCTGTTCTTGTACCCCTGGCTAATGCTTATTGAAGGTCCCCATAGCTGTTCTTCCTTTGACTGAGGTAGCTCATGTTACTATTTGCAGTAACCCTCTTTAGGAGGGAAACACAGGCCTCAGTCAAGGCTTTAGGCATGGATTAATATTAGTTCTGGTTAATATCCTGGCAGAGTCCCTGGGGCATCTTTTATAAAGGGTTGTAAATGGCATGCTGCCTTATCTGTGTACATAAAGTCTTATTAATGGAGAAGGGGGGTGTGTGGAATAAAAAAAAGAAGGAACTGTAACCTTATTATTGTTATAATACCTGTTACAAACCAGGATAAATGAGTAACTGGCAAATGAAATGAGTTAACTAAAATATAATAGACTCACAACATAATGTATCATCAACCCAGCAGCTTCCTGAAGGCATGTAGGAAAAAAAAAATTAAAATCTCACCCTCTGAATTTTTGAAAGACACTGGCTCCTACTCTTCTGAAGTCTTTCAACTAGAATGAGTTGTGGGGCTAATTAACAATTACAGCCCGTCCTCCTCCCCCCACTCTGTGGGGGACAGCCAACAGAGTGTGACCTCTCTGGTTCCAGGTGTGTCCCGTGAGCCAGATTAATTAGTCCATTTTTGAGATTCATGGCTGTCGAGTCAGATCCTCAGGGCCTCATTCAGCCTCTGGTGGGGCCCTGGGCTCTGGCTCCTGCATTCCTTCTCTAGGCGGTGTGTTTCTGCCTTTAAGACACGTGTTCTCTGTATTTTTTTTTTTTTTCCTTTCGGTTAGCTGAACTTGCTCTGAGTCCAAGTGACAAAGGCAAAGCCTGAGTCAGGGTGTAACAGCTCTGTGTCAACAGCTGCTTCTCTCCTCCTCCGCTGGAATCTCTGAGGCCGTGGGGCAGAGCCAGGGCAGTTTCTGAAAGCTCTGCCATGCCTGAGAGATGTCCAGGTGAGACGGAGCTTGTCTCCTTGTCCTATCGCAAGGATCTGGCTCCCAGAAGCTGACTGAAGCTTGCTGCTGGCCTTGGCTTTGCCCCAAGGAGGAGTTGAAAGGCCGCTTATGTGCTTGTCTCTTCTGGCAGCACAGATTCAGTTGCTAGAATTCTTTCAACTTTGTGTGTGATTATGGCTTCCTTACCAAAGTGCTTGCCTCTAACTTCTAGCTGAAGTTGTCACTGTACTTATGGCCGTGTTTTGTTTGTTTGTTTTATAGGTGAATCTACCTCTGGCTGACTGTAGGATTTTTACTTCTGGCTTTCAGATTTTTCTTTTAAAAAACCTTTGACGGATAAAAGATGTGCCATGGCAGGATAGCACCAAAGAGCACCTCAGCGTTTGCCGTGGCCTCTGTGGGGCATGGAGTGTTGCTTCCGCTGGTGATCCTTAGCACCCTGCTTGGAGACGGACTTGCGTCAGGTGAGTCCCCACCTGCCTTCTGTGTGTGGGAAGGGAAAAGACTTAATACCATTGTTTCTCCTGAAGGCTGAGAGGGCGGACTGTCCCTCTGACAGACAGTTGCTTTTCATGCCTTCTGGGGTCCCTGTGGGAAGAGCAGAGGATGGAGACTTTTGTGCTGTGGTGTAGCAGAGAGTCAGTCCTTCTGGGGGCGTGGCATCAAGGGGACTAGTGAGCCAGCTGGAGGGATGTATGGAAACCTGCTGGTGGTGACATTAAGACTCCCTCCCCCCAGCCGTAACTATCATCAGACAGCATGGAGGTATAGGATTCAGAGCATGATGTGCAGGTAAGGCTGCAAGCTTCAGAATCAGACTGCCTACGTTCAGAGCCCAGACCTACCACTTGCTGGTTCTGGGACCCATGAGCAAGTTTTTATGTCTGTAAGCCTCAGTTTCCTCAGCTTCAAAATGGGATAATAATAGTACTTACCTCATAGGGTGGTTATGAAGATTGAATGATATAATACAATAAACAGTAATTTTTCACTATTTTTTGTTTTTTCTTGTATTTCTGTGCTTTTTCTCAGAATGAGTACATAGTTGAGGTATTATAATTTAGTGAAAGCAGGGCCTGATTAAATGATACCACACTATACTTTTTGATCTTGAACAAGTCACTTAATCATTCTGTAGCTCAGTTTCTCTATCTGTTAAATGAGTGGTTGGCCTGGAAGACCTTTAAGGTGACTTTCCAGCTCCTCAAGTCTATGCTTTCATGATTCAAAGAACATTCTGTTTGAAGATGGTGAGCTGGAGGAGCCCTGATGGGCTAAAATGCAGCAGTGAGCCTTTTAGAGTTTGTATGGTTCTTGCTTCATTAGAAACATGTATATGACAGTTACTTTAGACAACATTCCATAGAGAGATCTCAGAGCTAGGGTCTGAAGGGGATTGGGGTGGGGGGGCGGTTATATTGTAGCTTGTAGAGCCCCATAGCTCAGTGCTGTGTCTTGTATTCCTTTTCCGTCAACTCCCACCTCCCACTTACCGAACACATGCAGATAATAATACAAATCTCATCTAGTCTTATTTTTTTTCTTTGACTTACTGGGAGAAAAAGTTACTGTTTTTCTTTCCATCGTGGCCTTTTGACACTTGACCCAAACCTTTCCCATAAGCCTGACACCTCCTTGGCTGTGAGGAGCACCTATCACGACCCAGGGGACCGCTGATGGTTGGAAGTCCACAGTGTGGGCATCCTGATTGTGTGAGGTTCCAAAGGAAAAGGCCTGACTACACGAATGTGCAACAAAATGAAGCAGTACCTTCATTCACAAGGCCATTCCAAAGCCAGAAGAGGCCTTCAGAAGTGGTATCACAGAACTGTGGAGGATAGGGACTCTGTTTTATTTATCACTGTATCTGTAGAGCAGAGGTTGGCAAACTAAGGCCCATGGGCCAGATCCCACCTACCATCTGCTTTTGCACGACCTGCGAGCTAAGGGTGGTTTTTAAATGGTTTAAATAAATAAATAAAAGAAGAATACTATTTAGAAACACATGAAAATTCTATGCAATTCAAATTTCAGCATCCATAAATAAAGTTTTATTACAGTATCATAGCCCTCATTCATTTACATATTGTCTGTGGCTGCTTTTGTGCTCCCAAGAAAGAGATGAGTAGTTGCAGCAGAGATGATGTAGCTGACAAAGGACTGGTCAAAGCCACAGTGGACTGTAGAGGTTTTGCACTTGTCCAGGTTCTTATGGTCAGCTAAAAGTGGAGCCAGGACCGGAACCTGGCACAGTGCCTGATGCACTACTGCCACCTGCCTCTTCCAAGGCTCCTCTGGGGAAGTTGTCCAGACATGTTACACGGTGGTGTTAGTGGCATAATATCTGAAAAGTCTAGCTTCTTTAGCTCCATTAATCCATCCCACCCACCTCCACCCTCCTTTTTGTCAGCTCCACCCTGCCTCCTCCCATTCCCCACCCCCATTTTCCAACCACCCACACCTTCCTAACTTCCCACTCATTGTCTGAAATCAATTATCAGGGACTGATGGTTCCAGACTGGCTGGATAAAGGGATTATTATTCTCCATTGTGGAAAAATATATGTCTGTTTGTAGTGTGGGCTCAGACCAGGATGGGAAAGTTGGCCTTGTTGATTTCTTTCCCCTCCCCCATCTGCAAAGAATCCTCACTCCCCTGCCATGTCCCCTCCCAAATCTTTCCTACTCCCCATAAAACGTGTACTGGCATGAGCAGCATGCAGGCAGGGGAAGGGGTTTCACCATTACTTAGATCCAGTGCACCAAGTTACTGCTGACGTTTTTCCCTTTCTCTGGAGCGGCTCCTGGGAGAGGGAGGTACTTGCTTCTTGGCCTGAATCCCAGAGCACACCTGTATGGCTGTGCCTGCCATGAGCAGTGTGCCAGGCAAGCTTGCCAAGAAATCAAGACTCAGATATGCTGAAGCCAAGGAAAGGCAGTTCAGTTCAGGAAAGGGCCCCTCTGCTTACCTGCTCCTAGAATACCCATTCCAGAAGCATTACCTGATTTTAAAATGGGGCGCCTTATAAACTACTCAGCCTTGTTACCCAGTGGGCTCTAATAGACCCCAAATATGCTGTACATTCATGACTGTGAGAATCCTGCCATAAATAGTGAAGTGGGAATCCTCTGGGCTGGGGGGGTGATTCATCTCCATAGTTTCTGGTCATAAATACCACAGCTAGCCTCTAGTCTTGGTCATCATAGCTCAGGTTTAGAAGAAAAGAATTGTGTATGAAGAGGCACTTGAGAGTTCTGTGGTAGTTATGTATGTTTGGGGTTTAGTTTTACATCCTGGGTTTTCTACAGCTGGGGAAAAACCAAAGAAAGTGTTAGAGAGGCATTGGGTCTCAGTCTGCCTTGGTTATTCCTTTAGCAGAAATGGGGAGAATTCTTGAAAAGTTCCCTTTTAGGAGTGGCAAATGGAAGCATATCTTATTCTTCACATATAGTCACACCATGCAGTGGGAAGACCAGTTGTGCGCAGGCAGAATTAAAAATAGGAGTCCTGGTGGCACAGTGGTTTAAGTACTTGTCTGCTAACCGAAAGATTGTCGATTTGAACCCACCTAGCGGTTTCACGGGAGAAAGACCTTCTGTAAAGATACAGCCTTGGAAACCCTATGGGGCGGTTCTCCTCTGTCCTGCAGGGTCACCATGAGTCGGAATAGACTCGACAGCACACAACAGCAACATGCCTGTGCTACCCAATTTACCTTTCTTCTTGGGCTAGAGTGAGAAATTAGGATCCTAAATGTTAGCACCCTCTCCCAAGTTTCACAATCCTTCTCTTTACCTATGATCTTAAGAAATTTGTTATATGACCTTAGGCAAATCAGTTGGCCTTTTTGTGTTTCCTATAAAACAGAAACAGCAATCCTTAAGAATGTTAAGGTCGTCGTTGTTGTGTAGACTAATGAAAATGATCGGAGGGCACTTGGCATGTAAAATGGATCATGGTATGTGACCTGCTGTTGAGTCATGTTGGGCAAGAGACTTAAGCAGATGATATCCTTGTCTTTAAAAAACAAAACTGAAGATGCATGGTACAGTGTGATGGATCACTTCTATATGGCCTTTCTTGCCATGGTTTTGTAACTTCCACCAATTGACTGAATGGGACTATGCAAGTGAGGTGCTCATGGCCCACCAAGGGAATTGGATAGCTTGCTAATAATGCAAATAAGGTACATGGCACCCTTGTGGGGTGGGACCATACAAATAAGGTGTATAGAACCCTAATGAGAAGATTGGTCAGTTTTGCTATCCTGCTAGGCTTAAAAGAGAGCCAATCCCTGTAGGGGACCTCACTACCACCTAGAAGAAGAGATGGGAGCAGAGTGCGTCCTTTGGACCCAGAGTCCCTGCGCTGAGAACCTCCTAGACCCGGGAGATAGAGAGAGCTATGACACCAGACACAGTGAGAAGTAGCGGCAGAGAAACAGCAGCAGCAGCAGAAGCAGCAGAACCAGGAGACCTGCAGGAGACAGTGTGGTGGGCATCCCAGCCCATGGAGTGAGAAAGCTGAGTGCCTTTGGTCAGGCAGGAGATTTGCTGGTGGAATGGGGTGCCTTCAGGCACTTTTCGGTGGAGCTAGGCTTGTTGACCCCTGGACCTAGAGAGCTGAGCACCTTTGGGCCAAGGTGTACTGGCAGAATGGGATGCCTCTGGGCACTTATCAGTGGAGCTAAAGAGCTTTGTAACACTTGGCCAAGCGGGGCAGAAGCCAGCCTGCCCAAGAGGCCCGAGGGCCAGAGAGAGGCCTGCCTGCAGGGCATGGCCGAGAAGAGGCTGTCCTGATCAAAGACTCCTGAGTCATTTCTGATCCTGAATTGTAACCTGTTACTTCTCTAGTAAACCTGTAATTGTATTGTCTATGAGTTCCCTGTGGCCATTGCAACAAAGTATCAAACCCAGTGAAGAAGTAGAGAGTGCTGTGGGAGGGACAGTTGGTGTCAGAACTGGTATAAAGGTCAGAGGGTGGACTTCTGTCTGACTTACACCTCGTAGTGGTCAGTCTTGGCCTGTTGATGCTGATAACGATTCTCCCCGCTCAGTGAAATTAGAGGAAATCAGATGCCCCCACTACGCCGTTTTTACACATAGTCACTGTTTGGGTTGGGGATAAGGGATTGGGAGGAGGTGTCAAACTTGACCAGGTGAGGAATTGGCTACTTCAGGAATCTTCTTTGCCTTCCAGAAAGCTCACATTTGCATAGTTAAGTGGTCTTAACTGGTTTGCCGACCCATGTAAAAAGTTTTTAGTTCTCATTCTCCCCCTTTCCTGAGCATATTTACTGAACATATTCAGTATTTGTTTCTGCTTTTTTTTTTTTTTAAATGTTGTCATGTTAAACATCACACAAGCACCTAAAACAGTTTTAAAATAACTGGAAAAATAGCCATCTGCATTTCTGTGCAGCAGAGTGGGAAAGCTAGGCAGTTAGTTTTCATTGAAGATGGAA